TATTTTTGAGTAATGCAGATTCTCTCCATACTTTAGGAATGGATCGCTGCCCAAAATATTCAAAAACAATCATCAATTCCATCAGTTTGCAACATAATAATAACACTAGCCACAAAATGGACAATCTTAAGAACCCTCCTGCAGACAAGGATAAAATAACTTCTAACAGAAACAATTCCAAATTTACTTCTATTTTAAAACCTAAACTTTATTTTGAAACATTTAATAAAAATAACCCTAATAAAAATTTCATAGATTTTTTTTTTTTTTTTTTTTTTTTTTTTTTGTTTTTTTTTGTACAATAAGGAAGCTTGAAAACATCTTCATAAGCACTAAATTATCCTAATTAACAATTCTTATTGATGACAACTTACAAAGCAAAAAAGTGCTGAAATCCCAATGGAGAAATTCCTTGTATTTGAAGAAATGAGCGCATCCCAAAAAAATATTTAAACTTATGCCAGAGTTACATTTTTCTCCCCGACACTCAGGTAATCCCAAAGATAAAAAGCGAACTCTTTGCCGTTCACTTAAACCAAAGTAGTCAAGAGTGGGAGTGTGACCACTAAGACTTACTGCATGCTTTTACACCTTGATATTTTTATTTTTTTTAATAGTAAATATTCCCATTATTAATTTGTGTATATAAATATAACAGCACATACATTTAAAATTAATGCCTAATTCAAAATAGTATTACATTAGAAATAAACTATTTATGAAATAAAAATATGGAAGTAAAATTAAAAAATCGTATGCAAAGCATACTGAAGGGAAAAAAATTCAAGATATAAACAAGAGCAAAAACTAATTCTCAAATAACCAATTTGTACTCTATACCATATTTAAGTAGACCTGATTCTCTCTGAGTGAGTTTCGCCAGAACTCTGTGCATTTGCTTCACCGCATACTGTCTTAGATTAGAAAAGTTGCCTGGGGCAAGTGCGGCTAGTTTACACTGTGTCTGCCAGAGACTGCTTTTCTTCTATTCAACTTCTTTGACTCTGGAATATGTGACCCTCTCCAGATTCAGACAGCCCTAATAGCCGCATATTTTTCAGAACATCCTTCTCCCTTTTAAGGGCTCTATTCACATCCTTAAGGAATTTTTGTATTCACAAATAATAGTGGGTGGAAGCATGACCTTCATGAAATTCAAACTTTGACTTTTCTGAAGGTCACATTTTTGTCACAGTAAATTGAAGCACAGTTGTAAGGTTGAAATCAAAGAACTATTTTTCAATAAAGACTGAGAGTATTCCTGTTGATAATTATATTTTGAAAGTCTGGCCACACACACACACACACACAATCAAACACGTTTAAATTTTCGCTCGTTTGGTGGCTGGTTGTTTTCCTTATTGTTTTCAATGCCAATCTGCAATGCCTGAGCCACATGGATTGAATATTATATTCATCTGAAATGTTAATGCACATTAAGAATGACAGTTGAAGAAATGGGATGGAAAGGTCAGCTGAGCAAAATTACGGATCGACTGCAAATTTTGACTAAAATTAAGGACTTACAAGGACTTAAAATCGTTTAAAAACACCCGACAAGTGTATAAGCCTTGCGTCATATTAATTAAGGAAACCTACATATATTTCAATTTTTTGGATATGAACGATACAAAATACGAATTCCATTCTTATCAGGACCAAGTATCTCAGATTTTCTAATACATTAGGCTTAAAGACAGCCTCATCAGTAACATTAAAAATAGATGACATAATCAATCCTTAGTTAAGTCTTAAAAAGACAGCTTCACTAGTTGCATAACTGACAGATAATATAAATCAATCCTTCAAAACTTTATACAAGTTCTGTTTTTCTTCTGGAGATATAAATGATTTTCACTCATTGATTTTTCTCACAAAAATTAAAGTTTCTCCATTAAGTTAAACATTTACTTATAAGTGAAATTATCTTCTGTAATTATTTTATTCACATTATAGGAAACTTTTATGCAACTATTTTATTCTTTCTTTGTTCAGCAGATTCATTATCAGTGGCATTACAATGGCATCTGTCTTCATGAAATATTCCAGCAGCACCAGTTCTTGAAGCTCTTGAAGAAATTTTGATTGAGTTTGTTGTTGTTGTTGTGACTTATCTCCCTTGTAGAACAGTAACATCAGAACAAGCCCATGAATTTCATTGTGGCAAGGAGTGCAAGACTGAGCCTGTCATTGGCATAAGCCTCGAGCACCATTCAGGTGACAGTATGACTTTCCTCAGTTCTGCCCCGAAATTTTATGGACAGCATCCGAAGGGGATGGGTCTGATGGTCTCCCATCCCTCTTCCTTCACACCTCTTGAGCTAACTTTCGGTTCACTGCACATTTAGACAGCCCCCATGCTGCACAGACACTATATTTTTGAATGTCCATGCCTTGTACAGGATTTGAACCTGGACCCTTCGATATGGCAGTCAGCGTCGCTAACCACTATTTCAGCATATCTAGTATGCTCAGTGGGACCAAGTATTTTGATTTTAGAACTCTGAAGTTTAAAATATTTGAAAATGAATTTAAATGTACTGAAAATGCAATGGAATGGGATAAGAACAGCTTTCAGTCTGAACAAGATTGTAACTGAATTACTTAAAGAATTACAGACTGGAAAGAAATTTTGATTGTAAATATTTCAGTTTAATGACATATTTTTAAGAGACTTGAAAACTGCTAGTCGCTGATTTCTTAATGTTTACTGAAGCCTGAAGATAGCGAGTACCGATTCACTTGATGATTTAAAGAAAGCAAAAGTTTAAGAGAGACAGACACCTAGAAATTAGGCCTAAATTAGAAAAGTGATTGCAAGAATCCCCCCCCCCCAAGTTTACACATACAAAAAAAAAAAAAAAGAAGAAGAAAAAAGAATAGAAAAGAAAAAAAGAAAGATAATAAAAAATAGAACTGAAAAAAGTTCATTGGAGAACCAAGAGATTTTTGTCCTTACAGAGCTAATAAAAAATTTTCATCACAATAGATCTGTTACTGATAAGGACAACATTTTTAGTACAATGTGTGAAATCTACATCAAAAGCTGAATGACTGATTTGAAACTCTCTGGTAACATCACAAAATCAGCCTAAAACTGCACAGGAGTTTGAGCTATTACTTACTTGCCCAGATTTAGGTTTGTGATTTATTAAGCTTAGTAATGAGGATCACTGCAAGTGGATAAGTCAAGACCAATCCGAGAGCTTTGCATGCTAAGCTACAAGGAACAATTAACAACATTTTGTATAATTGTATTATGTGTAAGCATTTTAATGCTAAATCTACATCAAATAAACTGAATTCTTTTGCCATCAAACTGAGTGGCAGATAGTCTAATTTTCAAAGCTGCAGGAATTGATGTGGCTCGACCTTCAATTTTAAAACTGGATGAAAAGTACAGATGACATTGTTTACTTGCATAATTTTTCACACCATTCAACTTGAAAAGGTAAATTCTATTGTCTGATGGCTCTTGCATGCTTATTGCTCAATAACTAAGATTTATTGTGATAACAGAACAAAACTTGAAAGAACCTTTAATGATCTTTCTAAATCAGACTGGGAAAAGTTTCAAGATAAATCCGCACACATAAAGTACTTTGGAAATTTATCTCATCCACTATAAAGTAATTATTAAAATGTACTCTAGATAAATGTATATGAACTCAGGAAGAGTTTAATGCAGTGATCTGTGATTGTGGATCAATCATTAACTGTAGACCACTAATATGTCTCAAAAACTCCACAAGAATTAGACTTACATCCACTATGTTTCTCTTATTAAGAATAAGTCTTCAAATATTGTGTCTTCAAAATATTTCATTGTTGAAATGAATTTGCAAAAAACTAAGTAAAAAATAATATATAAACTTTAACAATTTAAGGAAACATTTCAGAAAAAATTAGCTTAAAAAGATTATAAAAAATGTAATGAAAAGTCAAGAAGTGGTAAAGTATCAATTGCAACTACATATCCTGCCCTTGGAGATACAAGCTAATGGAATAACATTTGTAGAGTTTTCAATTAAATAGCCCTTCATCCTATTATTTTGCCTTTTAACTCCCACCAAAATGTAGATTTAGATTATGCACTTAATCACAGAGTTCTTGAGTTTGTTACAGAGCTTTTGGCAGCTACTGTTGACCAGTCACACTGTTAGATCTCCCCACCACTGAATTTCATAATCAGTTTTAGATGCACTAGCTGTAATTGCTTTATGAATATATTGAGGCCTGAGCAAAAGCTTATTTAGATACCTGTAATTTTGTGTTTAATATTTTAATATGACTGGAATTTTTTTGGGTTTTGAGAATATTTTTTTTCATCCGGAACTTAATAACGAATTATTTAATGGTAAAAGTCGGAGACTCAATCTAAGTCTTGGATGGGAAGAATGTTATGAACTGAACTAAATTGAGTTGGCCACAGAGTGACACTGCAGGTATGTATGTGACATCATTCATCATACAGAATTGTTTCAGATGTTACAAGAGGGATCACAAAATTTGGGTTTTTATGTGAGTGACAAGTCTTTATTTTTTTTTCCCTCTTTGTTTGCATGTCTGCAATCTGTAAATATTTGTTTTCATGTTTTGGGAAGGTTATTGAAGTAGTCTTAAAAGGACTATTACATCAGACGGACACAGCACATGAAGAAATTTGTGATACATTTAAGTTTGAATATATTCCCAACATCTGGATTGCTCTCCATCATTAAATAACATCAATATTACAATACTTCAACATACAACATGGCAAGATAAGTGAATATGCTACACTAATGGGTTGATAAACTACATTTTTACATTTTTTTCATCAAAGTAGACAGTTTATTTTCATAACATTACACAGTTTACTGGTTTTGTTCTAAGCTCCCAAACTATTAAAAAAGCCATAAAAACAATAATAAAACAAACAGACATAACATAAAACCATATACTAAGATTGGTAAATTAGTCGTCACTAACATAATAACAAAACACTTCTTGAATGGTACCTTTATTGTTCTATTAAGGCATTCATCAGCCATAAGACGAACATCAGAATTTTCATCATCACAACACAGCATAAATGTATCCATTGCTAAACCTAACACCTTGGGAAAATCTGGAGTTGATCTAAATAGAATAAAGCACAAATATCTTAATTACATGCGTTCTACCTTTTATTTATTTCTAGATGCTACAAAATTCTAAAACTACTACAGTCAAAAGTCGTTAATTCGGACACCCATAATCCGGAATGATCTATAATCCGGACCTCAAAGCTACAAACTTTCTGCGCGTGCGTCGTGTGCGCGTAAGACCTTTACGGCTGCGAATATGCGTGTGTCCACGCGCATAAGACGTTTACGCATGCGCGTTAAATGTATAACAGACGGTATAAGCTAAGCTAAAATTATCTAATTCAGTTAAATGTTGCAGATTGCGCTGTTCCTTAATCTTCGAATTGGATCCGGCTTATTATTTTTTTGCAGACTGTTAGAGCAATTTTATAAAAGTAAGCTTGAACTTTCAATTATGTCACATAGAATTTCCGATATATATTTACTAATATGTAAAGGATCTACAAAGCGAAAGTATGTTTCGAAGTCCATTAAACAAAAAGTGGAATTACTGCAAAAAATGGATAAAGGCATATCCTTTGATTCTCTTATCATTCCGAAATCTGTTTATCAATTTCACGCTGCGGGGGGGGATGACGCGGTGCGCAATGAATTGGAAGTTGATCTTTCAGCACTATCCTTATCTTCAGGGCAGATGTTTTTATTTTATTTGGCTTATAATTCCTAACTAAATGTAGTATTTCATATCGATGTACTCCGTCTTTGGTATGATTTAAATCAAATTCCTCGTCATTATAATTCGCTTCCGATAGTGAAGAAAGTGACACAGAGGTTATTGAAAACGAAAAAATTTCGATTGACAAATTAGTCGGTATTCTCGACACAGCAATATAGGACTTGAACAGCGGAACTTTGTAACTGAACAAGAAATTATGTCTGTTTATAGAAATAAAGAGAAAGTATTATCGCTTAAAACGAAGCAAATTAAACAACTTACAGTGAAAGAAATGTTTAATAAAGTAAACAAATAAATATTAAGTTTTTTTTTTTTTTTTTTTGGTAAATTTTTATACCCTTTAGATCATAATTGTTCTTTATTTCATAAATTACGGTTTAATATTTTTAATTTTATAATTTCTGCATGCCATCTTACCAGATTTAAACTGATGATCTATAATCCGGAAAAATCGATAATCCGGAATCGCCGAAGTCCCGACGAGTCCGGAATAACGACTTTTGACTGTATATATTGAAAATAACACAAAGATAATTAAAAAAAAACTCGCACCATGATTTATAAGAAAAATTTATTCATCACAATCACACATTAAATTTATTTATCTTTTTATTTAGGAATATCTTCGTTTATAGAACTGGAGTCTAAAACACTAAAAAAATATAATTTTTGTATTAGATATGGACTTGAATGAACATATGAAAGAGAGAGACCAAAACTCTTGTTACAATATAAAGTCTTTAAGAATACCAAAAAACATAGAAAAATAATTATAACAAACACATTTCCTCCCCATGTTCCAAATGCTTTTATAAAATGCTTGTAGGATAATTATCTTCATAGTGTACAAAATTATTGCCTAGTAACTTTTCAAGTGACACTTATCAGAAAGCACACACTAGGTCCTTAGTCCTTCTGCCATTTTTGAAAGCACCGAGAGGGGGTACTTTTTTGGTATTAGTCTCTGCGTCATCATTTTCGATTGGCTAACTTGTCTGAAAACGTTGATATAAAACTATTTTGATAAAAGAAAACAATAGAAGTTGAGGTTGAAATATCTCATAAATACAGAGATAGTATGACAAGAATCCATTACTGCAGTAAGAATTTCTTAAATGGCATATTCATGCCAGTGTTGTTGTGTAAAATACATCTAGCTCTGCTCATCTTTGGTTATTTTCATTTGACTTTGTCACCCAAACATATAACACTTTTAACAGAATGCAGCACTGACAATGGATTACGTAAAAACAATTTCACGCTGGACGTGCTCAAGTTATAGAGGAATAGAACAAACAAGACCTTGGCTTTCAATTTTCAGTTTTGTGAACTTTTTTATCCCAAGAGATCTTACTTAATGTTACCACTGCTATGTTACTACAAAAGTGAAATCCCCAGCTCTCCCAGTCAATGATTCAGCCACAAAGCTTTTAGAGGCCAGTCTGACAAAACAAAAACAAATTGAAAGAAATAAATAAATAAATAAACAGTTGAACACATAATAAAACGAGACATAAAGAAAAGAAAACCGATACACATCTTTCCCACATCTACTCCAGCCAAGTATCTCTGTGCATTGATAATATTTATTATTTCCCTGGAATAAAGCAGCATTTTACTATAGTCCTTAAGATCTCTTGGAAATTCGATTTTCATTTTATCTTTAATATTAGCAGTCAGGCCATAGGTTTCATCGAAGCGAACATTATCACCTCTTACTCTACATAGCCGACAAAGATTGTGTTCGTGCAAGGCAAATCTATTCAAATACATGGGAAAACGCCCATGTCCCATCAAAACCTAGGTCTATATCAATATAGCACTTTCTTCCTTTATAAATCTGTATTGTGCACATATAATTTTTCTTTTTCTCCAATGATTCCCAATTGTTTTTTCATTTTTCATATCTACTATTGCATAAAATTTCAATAGTCTTCTTCTAGAGCCCTGCAGTTTAATTTCTTTACAGATGCCAAGTGTGGCTTCTTTTGCCAGTGTATCAGCCCTCTCATTACCATGGAAACCTACATGTGCCTTAATCCAATGTATCTTAATATTATATTTTGTACGCAGATTTCTATATTTCATTTTAATATTCACAACAAGTTTATTATCGTACCCAAGTCCAGAAAGTGATTGCAAGGCCGATAGTGCATCAGAAAATATATGGACACACTGACCAGCAGATAATTTATTTTCACTCCAGGTAAAAGCCTCTAGTATTGCATATAATTCAACCTGGCACAGATCTTAATGTGTGCCATTTCTGAAGATTTGGCTTTCAGCTCTAGATTGTGGATGTGGTGTATTTTGGTGTATTTAATTATGGCAAAGCACACGAGGGCTATCTGCCTAAGGGGAGGGATGCCTTTCGTGGAGGACTTTCTAAGGGAAACTGGCTCGTATACACGTTACACATGGGCAAAACCACGAAAACGCCCATGCAGCCAGCCCGTTCGCGGGATTCGAACCTCGGACCGAACTACCGGCTAGATTGTGGATGAAACCCAAAATTCTTTGTTAAAATAGCCTTTGCTCAAAATGCGATATTAATTAAATAGTTGATAGATGCTTCAATACATCTGCACTACAACAAGAATTATGCTGTCCCAGAAAATATCACTCCGTACATTTGTTTATAGAGAGACTATTAATTCTATGACAGACAAATTCAAATGCTGTTTCAAACATGCGGTACAATTTTTTTCAAACTTTTTAACACAGGCTATGTATGCAGATAATTCACTACTGTTTACACAGTTTAACCACTTTATGAAGGTATTACACATAGTGTTAATGAATAATAATAAACTATAGCTTTAATAAATAGCTTTATATACAATTTTTTCACAAACTTTTTAACACAGGCAATGCATGCAGATAATTAACTACTGTTTATACAGTTTAGCCAGTTTAAGAAGGTATTAGACATAAAATTTTATCACAGTATCCATCATATATATAACAAAGACATTAAAGCTGAATATATAGCAAATTCACATAAAATATACTTTCAATCCATTCTTAACATACAATACACTTTTCAATAAAACATTAGTATTTTACACACTTTGTTCTTAGCAGAATCGGACATCGATAAAAACATAAAAATTAATACTCAGAAGAAAGAAAGATTGTGGAATATCTGAATATTTTATATGAAAAGTATTTGAAAATTAAAATGAAATAATTTTGTAATTACTATAACAACGTTACTTTTATATTTAAATTAATATCTTTGCATCAATATTTCGCTAATAAACCATGCAAAAATTATAAAGCTAGCATATTAATTTAAAAAGTTAAATTAAATTTTTTTAAATCAATCGCCCAAAAACCTTTCAAACTGACAATTACTTTAAAAGAACAATGCTTTACACATTTATGATTTCTTTATTAACTATGCTTTGGAAGCCATTTATTATGTGCTGTCATAATGTAATCTAAAGAACACTGACGGTTTTTTGCCATTTTTAAATGATATCTTTGATTAAATTCTTAAATACTGGTGAGCAGAAATTGCACAGACAGGAAGTTAGCAGATAAAGGTAATTAAAAAAATTATTAAAAAGATTATTACACTGCTGTGCTTAATTAAATAAAACACAAGATTCTCAAAACTAACTTCAGTTTGCTATTCCAGTAGCTAATCAGACACTTAAACACAAATTAAAAATTACTTATATGTAATTCAAATTTCAGAAGGATACTGAATGTGATATTACACTGATTAAATTTATTAATTTGAAGCTTATAACTGATTAATATATATTGATAAAAATAAAAATTATTAATTTGCAGCTTAAATTTTAATTATGCCTACTATGTGGCTGGCTGTACATCAAATTACAGTAATAAAGTGAAAACAGTATATTACATACATGACTACCACTAATAAATATGAAACAGCCAAGTTCTGCACATGAATACAGTAAAATACACAATCAACTGCTGAATCCCACAAGAGAGTTGCCACAATCAGCTGAACAGACATTCCATTATTTATATAGATAACACAGTGAGCAATGGTCAATGTTCACTGCTGCTACAGTAAAGCGAAGCTCGATTCTAGAACCACTGAGACCATGGCACAATGATTGAGATAAAAGGATAACTCAAGCATAGATATCCATGCATTACGCTGGAAATGAAGTAACTGCAGAGCCCTTTCAAAATGTTTCTTCTTTGATATGCACAGTATTTGTTAGGTAGTGAACTCATATAGCTTGTAAGCATGGTTGACATCTGGTCTGCTGAAGCATATTTCACTGTTAGGCTGTGAAGATTGGTTGTGTGAATATCTAATCAATGCTGCT